CCACAGTTTATCCTCTCTCAAAAACCAGCATAAAGCCTAAATCACAAGAAAGAAAATGCATACAACTCACCTTCAATCTCTCAATCTGCATTGGTATTGGCAAATTCTGAACACCTTGAAGCAACTGCTCTCTCTTGGCATTGTCATCAGTTTCCATCTCCGGAAGTAATTTAGAAGATAACATAACAGGTAAAACTGCAAGATCACTATCAGATTCGATCAATTTCCAACCAAAAACATCCCATTAAAACAAAAAAAAAGGGACCATACTTGCAGCATTCTCTGCATTGACATTCTTTGGAAGAACAACAAATGCCGCAGAAACTTCCTTCACGGCTTCCACAATGTTAAAAAGCTCTAGATTCACCATCGAATATTGCCCTAGAATATGTTTCCTAGAGAGTCATACACACAAACCCAGAGATCAAAATCAAACGACAAAAAAATCACAAACCCAGAGATAAAAAAATCAGGGATTCGCGAGGACGAACCATTTGGGAGTAGTGTTGGTTCGAGCATGAGCGTCAAATTCTTCAATGATACGAGAAATAGCATTGAACAAACTCACGGCTCGTGTCTTCACTGATTTGAGATTCAAAACCTCTACTATGTCCGGATGGAGCTTCTCTGCAACTGGAGGTGGTTGCTGTTGCGGCTGCGTCGTCGTCGTTAACCCAACTCCACCTTCCATTTGATTCATCAAACAAAGCTCCTCAAACGATTTTCTTAACCCCAATTTCGCGTAATTTTAGGGTTTATACGTCACTGCGATCGAAATTTGATACAAAAATTCTAAACATGGAAAAGAGGAAAAAAAAAAGAAAAAGGTTTTTGATAATGGGTCTACTTTTTCTGTATCTGTTGATCACTAGCCCAAAGGCCAAAGTAGGCCCAAACATGACAATTTTTTCACGGTATTTCGGACGGATAAAATTATTAGTCGGATCATTTACAACGAATTTCCATTTCCAATCGTTTTTTGACGGATCATCATGTCCGTTAGAAATCGGTTGAAAATTCATTATTCTCAAAATTTTGGAAATCCGTCAGCAATTTTTTCACGATTTTTCAGCCGCTTAATTCCGATAGAAAAATTCTATTCGTATTTTGTGAGAAATTTTCCACCGGTTTTTGACGAATTCGCAATTTCCGACGATTTATAACGGATGGACAAATCTGTTGGAAATCCGTCCTAAACTGTTCTTTCCAATTTTTTTTTTTAATGAATTTAAAACTTATAATTTAGTCAAATCTTTGTACAGTAGATGTTACGCTAAGTCTTAT